TCTTGTGTCTAAGTATGGGAGAGGTGTTTTGGGAAAATGTTTTAGAGATGAGATTTGAACTAATGATATATAGGAAATAACATATGCCCTTTGGAAAAAAATCGTCCAACACTTAGAAAAAAAAATGGGGCGGGTGAACAGTAAAATTAGCTACTGGAAATTGTCTTTTTCTGTCGGACAGATTTTACGGAAATGGGCATAACTTCTTCGTCCGAACTCCGAATGAGGTGAAACGAAGTGCGTTAGATAGCTAACTCAAAGGGCTTTCCATGGATATATTATTGGCCACCCAAATAATTTGTGTGCTAGGAGATATGACCCTCCAAAGTAGACCCTCGAAAAAGGCTTCACTTGGCAATTTCGGATTTTGATACGGTTGCTCTAAAATTTGGGTTAGACCCATTTCCCACTCAATTTGACCCCCTAAACAAGAATATGAAGTCGGATTTTCGAAAAACGAAACGGATCTTTTTATAAGTAGCTAAACAAGTTTCCGGTAACTTCCGAAGCACATTTTTAAGAACTTTTTGGGTCAAATTCAAATATAATCATTTCATTAAGTTCTCGACTCTAAACTCACATGTGAGGCTCTAGTTTCACTCTATCATTTTCCGAGTCGTTACAAATGCATAGGTAAAAGAACAAATGACCCCTGACTTAAAAGTTGTCGGGGATAATCGATAGACCTGGTCCATGGACCGTGGTCTCACCTACGGTCCATTCTGGTCAGTCATCGTTCGGCTTCAGAGGATGGGTTCTGAGGAGTCCAAATCACGGATCTGGTCCACGAACCGTGGTCCCACCTACAATCCGTAGGTCGTGGCGTGGTTTTGTACTTAGGTGAATTTTCCTGAGGTTCTGCGGAGTTTGAACCACGGACCTGGTCTATGGACTGTGGTCTCACCTACGGTCCGTAAGTCCTTCCGTGGGTCAAGACTTGGCTGAAAAATTTTGGAGTTCTGGGATGGGAGTTGCAGGTAGCCAACCACGGACCCCACCTACGGTCCATGGGTCACCTACGGTCCGTAAGTCCTTCCGTGGGTCAAGACTTGGCTGAAAAATTTTGGAGTTCTGGGATGGGAGTTGCAGGTAGCCAACCACGGACCCCACCTACGGTCCATGGGTCACCCTACGGTCCGTAGGTGGCATTTGTAACTTTTGGAATCTGCATTTCTGATCTATCTAGAATATGGGGTGTTACAGTCAAATAGGAGGTTGCATGCAAACTTGTTGCGAAATCAGTTTAGCTTGTGCATTCCCAAGCTCAATCTGTTCTTGATAAAGTGCTCTTTGCTTAGTGCCTTGGTAAAGATGTCAACCACTTGGTCCTCTGTCTTACAGTATCTCATCACCACATTTCCCTTGGCGACATTGTCTCCAAGGAAATGATGTCTCACATCAATATGCTTGGTCCTCTTTTGCTGAACATGATGCCTTGCCATGTTCATTACACGTGTTATCACATATGAAAGGAATAGTATCTGTGAGGACACCAAAATCTTTAAGTTGTTGCTTGATCCACAAGAGTTGAGCACAACATGAAGCAACAACCACATACTCAACTTCAGCAGTGGACAATGCGATTGAGTTATGCTTTTTTAGTTCACCATGAGATCAGTGATGACCCCAGAAAATGTGCCATGCCTAAGGTGCTTTTCTTGTCAACAAGAAAACCTGCATAATAAGTATCAGCATATCCAATTAAATCAAAGGAATCCGCAAAAGGGTAGAATAGGACTAGGTCCAGTGTTCCCTTCAAGTATCTTAGGATCCCTTTAGCTGCCTTCAGATGTGACTCTTTTGGAGCTGCTTGAAACCTAGCACACATCCCCACACTGAATATTATATCTGGTCTGCTTGTAGTAAGATAGAGGAGAGAACCAATGATTCCTCTATACATAGTATGATTCACATCAGTACCTGCATCATCCTTGTCGAGTTTAGCATTGGTGCTCATTAGAGTATCAAGTATTTTGGCCTCCTGGATGCTGAACTTCTTGAGTAATTCTTTGATGTACTTCTCCTGGCAGATTGAAGTGCCCTGAGGGAACTGTTTGATTTGTAGACCCAAGAAGAAGGTGTGTTCCCCCATCATACTCATTTCAAATTCACAACCCATTAAGGCTGCAAACTCTTTGCATAGAGGATCTGATTTAGCTCCAAAAATTATGTCATCTACATAGACTTGCACCACAAGGATATCTTTACTCTAGATTTCAAGGACAAAGTGTTGTCAATTTTTCCTCTTTTGAACCCATTTTCTAGAAGAAACTTTGACAATCGCTCATACCAGGATCTAGGTGCTTGTTTCAAGTCATATAATGCTTTGTCCAATTTCAGAACATGGTTGGGCAAGTCAACATCTTCAAATCCTAGAGGTGGTTTAACATAGACCTCCTCCTTCAAATAACCATTCAGGAAGGCACTCTTAACATCTATCTGAAAAACCTTGAACCCCATGTATGTAGCGAAGGCTATTAGGATTCTAAATGCTTCCATCCTTGCCATCGGTACAAACGTATCATCATAGTTGATTCCTTCCTTTTGATTGTACCTCTGCACCACTAGTCTTGACTTGTTTCTTGTGATAGTCCCATGTTCATCCAACTTGTTTCTGAATACCCACCTTGTCCCAATAATGGTTCTGTTGAGGGGTCTGGGGACTAGCTGCCACACTTTACTTCACTCAAACTAATGAAGCTCATCTTGCATTGAATTCACCTAGTCAACATCTTTTAAAGCCTCTTCAATGTTTTTGGGTTCAATGGTGGAAATAAAGGCTGAAAAAGCAACTAGATTTCTAGTCTTGGATCTAGTATCTATTCCAAATTCAAGGGGAGACACCAGATTGTCCAAAGGATTAAAGGATTGATGTTTCCATCCTGTTTTTCTTGTGATCTCCTCATTATGTTCAGCAACTAGTTCACAAATCTCAGAGCCTTCATTGTGAGTTTCTCCTTCGTGAGCAACATTTGAGGCATTAGAAGGACCAGGTTCTTCCTGGAGTTCTGCAGTAGTTTCTTCATTTGAATCCTTCTCAGCCACAGGGTCTTGAATCAAGCCATCTCTTTGAATTTGCATTAGCTCCTCAAGTTCAAGATCCTCCTTGTTTTCAAGTTTGTTCATATCACCAGATTCATCAAATATCACATGCACACTTTCCTCCACACGTAGAGTCCTTTTGTTGTAGACTATGTATGCCTTGCTTGTTGAAGAGTACCCCACGAATGTCCCTTCATCACTCTTTGGATCAAACTTTCCAAGATCATCCTTCCCGTTGTTCAACATAAAGCACTTGCAGCCTAAACCCTTCAGATGACTGAGTGATGGTTTTCTTCCATTTAGCATTTCATAAGGAGTTTTCTTGACCACTGACCTGATGAGACATCTATTTGTGACATAGCAAACAGTGTTTACTGCTTCTGCCAAAAAATTCATTGCAAGTCGTGAATCAATGAGCATGTTTCTGGCAATGTCCACCAAAGTCCTATTTTTCCTTTCTACAATCCCACTTTTTCTGAGGAGTTCTGGGAGCAGAGAAGTTATGATGAATCCTATGGTCAGTACAAAAACCTTTGATTTGGGCATTTTCGAACTCTATAACATGATCTGATTTGATACTTTCAATCTTGCAATTTATCTTCAACTGAATTTCTTTTGCAAAAATCATTAGCACTCCAGTTGTTTCATCCTTAGTTTGCACGAACATGTTCCAGGTGAATTTGGAAAAATCATCAGCAGTCACCAGGATGTTTTTCTTCCCACCTCTACTTTGAATTATTACTAGTCCACAAAGATCCATATGAACAAGCTCTAATAGTCTGGTTGTGCTGACTCCATTCTTTAGCTTGAAAGATGATCTTGCTTCCTTCCCCCTCACGCAAGCATCACAAATTTTGTTCTCAGAAAATTTCAATTTGGGTAGTCCACAGACTAGGTCCCCTACAACCAGTTTGTTCAACAAAGATGAGCTTACATGTCCCAATCTTCTGTGCCACAAATTTGCGTTGTCATATTGAGCACTCAGACACGTGAGATTATCCCCTTCTATAGAGTTGAGGTTTGCAACATACATATTTTTACCCTTATGGCAGTAAGAATAACCCTGTTGAAAACAAGATTCGTGACTATGTATTGATCTGACACAAATCTCACTTTATTTCCTTTGTCACAGATCTGAGACAGACTAAGAAGGTTGTACTTCAACCCATTTACATAGTACACATTGTCTATGGAATGTTCCTCTGATATGCCAATCTTCCCAACACAAAAAATGAATCCCTTTTTCCCGTCTCCAAATGACACACCACCACCTTGGTGTGCTTCCAAAGAGAGGAAGTTTTAAGTTTCTCCAGTCATATGCTTTGAGCAACCGCTATACATTTACCAGCATTGGTTGCTTCCTCTCTTCTGCAAAATAATCACTTGTTAGATTTAGGAACCCACTTGAGATGAAGTTCCCAAAAAACTATCAAAAGGTTTAATGAGAAACCTTCCCGTCCAAGGGGGAAAAGGTGTTCTTGCTAAAGAGATATTTAGGACCATGTACTTTCCTTTTCTCTACCTTCCCCTTTTCATATTTAAAGAAGCTTTCTTGATTTTCTTTTACCCTTTTCAGAGACTCGCAGTTTCTTTTCAAATGACCCTTTTCTCCCACAGTTATGAGGGTTGTAGGGAGGTTCTATCTTTAGACACCCTTAAACCCTTCCCACTATTGAATTTTTAATTTGCCAAGTTAGAAAGGATCTTAGATGAGTCAGTCCATTTTAGGGAATGACTTAACTCTTCTTTTACTTGACTTAGGTCCTTTACTAATTGTGAGTTTCTCTCAAGGGTAGCAACTAGTTTGGACTCAGATGTTTTTAGACTTTTCTCTAGATCAAGTTCAAAACTACCAAGTTTTCTCTTTCCATTCTCAAAGGTACCAGGTTCCTTTTCAGGTTGATGACTCTCACTCTCCAGAATACTCACCCTAACATTCATTTTAAACATTTGAAAAATAATGGTAGTTTTTTCATCTTCACATAGATTCAGTTTTTCACTCAAAATCAATTTTTCAGTTGTTAATTCATCAACACAACAACAAGTTTTCTCAATCTTTTAATTGACAAAGTGTCTAAATCACTTTTAAGATCGAAAAGAGTTACCTCATCTTTGTCATCTTCATTATCATATTTAGCCATTAATGAGAATATGGAGTTGAAAATAGTTTCATCATCCTAGACTACCATCATAGAGACATCTTCATGATGTTCTTCCTCATCAGAGTCACTAGAGGCGTTTCCCCATACTGCAAAGCTTTCTTCACAACTTGATCTGCATTGGCCTTTCTTTTAGCATGGACAGGGACCTGGTCCCTTCACTGTGGTTTGAAATCCTACACTTCATGTTTCTGACTCTAACAGTCTCTCATACAGTGACCAGGCTTTCTACACTTGTGACAAAGGTCATTTGCATTTGTTGTTCTGTTAGTAGTTACTTTCTTCTGAAATCCCCCATCCTTTTAGACTTTTTGGAATCCTCTAGTCAAATAAGCCATCTCATCTTCATCTTCAGAAACATCATTTTGAGATATCTTCAACGCCACTGATTTCTCCTTCTTTCCTTCCTTCATAGATGAACCCTGCTGCCTATTTAGCTCAGAAGTTTGCAGGTTTACAATCAGCTCATCCATAGTAAGAACTTTCACATCTCTGGCCTCAGTGATGACATTCACCTTGCTTTCCCATGATCTGGGAAGAACTCTAAGATTTTTTCAAACTTGTTTGCTTGGATGATTGGGCTCACCAAGACACCTCAGTTCGTTTGTGATGAAGGTAAACCTTGTGTGCACCTCATGGATGGTTTCACCCTCTTTCATGCTAAAATTCTCATATTGAGTTGTCAACATGTCCACTTTGGACTCCTTGACCTGAGTTGTTCCTTCGTGGGCTGTTTTTAGGCAGTCCCAAATTTCTTTTGCAATCTCACATGCAGAGATCCGGTTGTATTCATCTGGACCAATCCCACAAACCAGTAGCTTCTTGGCTTTGTAGTTCTTTTTTATTTTTAGCTTGTCAGCTTCATCGTATTCTCTTCTAGACTTTGGAATTACTCTAGTAAGCTCTCCTTCTTTCACATCTTTGGTAGGAACGTAGGTCCATCAAGTATCACATCACATAGCTCGGTGTCTTCTTCCATAATGTAATCATGCATCCTGGTCTTCCATCATCCATAGTATTGACCATTGAATCGAGGTGGATGAGTGGTGGATTGATCTTCTTCCAGACTTGGTGGAGCAGCAATTCCTTTAGGATCTTCCTTCTCTCGGTATTAACCAGATAGAAAAGTCACATCTCTGATAACAATTGATGGAATGTATGCGTCCACTAATAATTGCAGGACCAGGTCCTTTAGTGCAGTTTGAGTACTGAAAGTAAATAACTAGAAGTAAATAGACACACAAGATTTTACGTGAAAACCTCCTTGCTCAAGGGAGTAAAACCACGACCTGTCGCACAGGATTGTCAACTGTTTTCACTAATCACCAAGCAAAAGTGAAATACAGACTTCAACTACAACCATGACACTAAACTCTTAATGTCACACTAAGTAATACGCCTATTACTTACAGAGCCAAAGCAATGCACTCGTTGCCCACTATATTAACTATTGTTAATCAATATAGACTTTAACCGTAAGACACAAAGTTAACTCTAACAATGTTCTTACACCAACTCACACAAAGTTTTGAAATGTTTCTTATAACAGTGAAATGAATCCTACAATTTAAGCACAAATACAAGCAATCAAAACAATAGCAGGTTCGGAAAGTAATTTTTTAGTTGATCAGGTCCTTTGTCGTTTTGTTTGAAGCTTGATTCTCTCTCTTTGAATGAATGAATCTTCCAAGTTGTTTGTCACATGATTATATCATACAAAAATAATTGTTGACCAATGGACAAACAACCTCGTCCGTTTATATTGGTGAAGTATGCTGACAGCTTCACCAACACACTGTCATGACAACTTTCCAGTTGTACTCCATATTATACCTAGATGATAACACTCTGTAGAGGACCGGGTCCCTGCATTTGTGAGGATCATCAAAAC